GCCTGGCTGGAGCATTTGTTACTCGCCCCCCTCGGTCGTTTGTACATCTAATGCCACTTCTGAGAATGACAATCGGGCTGCTTGCTGGACAGGCAGGGACAAAAAGCAGATTAAACCGTTTTAAATAATAATAAAAAATATCCAAAATGTAAGCAGAGTGGATTACACTTGCTCCAGCGCCTCGGTTCCCCCCTGCCACATTCCCCCACCAGGCGCCCTCGACTCCGGAGCCGCTGCGGAGCGAGGAGGCGCTGCAGGGGACACGTGGGATTGCCCGTGTTGGCGGCGTGCACGCGTGCCCTCCTCGCGGTCGCCCGCCGGCAATGCCTGGTTTTATTTATTTATTCATGTATTTATTAAGGGCATTCAAGGGGATTTCTCACCGCCTTTTGCTCGGGATGCTCCCGCAGATTGACCAGGTGATACCCGAAATCCCCCCCAGGCAGGGGTAAGGGCGGCGGGGGGAAAACTTCCCTGGCCAACTTTAGCTCCCGTGTGCCCAGCTGCTACAGAACCGCGAGCCACCGTGGGGAGAGGAAATTGCTCGACACATTTACGTCTTCAGATATTTTTGTAACGTAATGAAATTAAAACTTTTGGAGCTCACAGTTGACATTTTGCAGAAAATTGAGTTATCAAGGCAGTAATTATTTCACAGGGAGATAAAACTCTCATAGCCCTAACTGTCAAATAGGGCCCTTTTCAGATTTTAATTACAAAATAAAATTAGTCTGCTCTTCCTCGGAAGGGTTTGTGAGTGGCTAAACAGAGCTTTCCCCAATACTGGTGGTCGTCAAACTCTGCTAATTAGCAATGCTGAGAAATTCCAGTTAACAAGGACATTCTCTAAGTCTCTGCAGGTTCCCTGCCGTTCGCCTTCATTTCCATAAGAAGATTAAGAGTGGAGGGGAACACACTCAAATGCAGATGCAGAAAAGAAGCGTTTTTAACAAGCATCATAATAGTAAGATGCTTGGCTAGTTCTCACCTAATTACTGCAAGTTAAACCTCTATTTGCAGCTAAGGACAAAAAAATGGACCTGCAATCTCCCATCTCCACAAGACTGCTTAATAGTTTGCTTTAGATTGGTTACGGCTAGGTTCAGGAAAAATATGAAAATGTGTGTATTCCTTGCGATACAGTTAATACCATAGGTTGTATCCCCAGTTTTTTTTTTTTTAGGAAATCGCCGACTGTCGGAGCAATAAATACATAAAATCCAAGCGGCTAGCGTTCTTTTTCTTTTTTAGAAACTCACGAGCTGGAAATACAAGTGAAAGCGCCGCGGAGCCCATCATTGAGAACATTTGCAGACTATTTGTTTAATGTAAGCACTTTTCATTTCCATAAATTATACCAAGGCAAAGATTTTTTAAATCCACGCAGATTAAACCATCCCTCCGCAGGCCTCCCTTTCAGCTTGTCTATATCCTCCCAGAGAGAGCTGGCGGAATTGTTATTAATACAGAAAACCGAGGTACCATTTCCTCGGTTTTATTTTATCCTCAGCATCCCGGTCCATCTGTACTTGTGTACGTGTACATATATGCAGCCAAACGCACCTACATACCCAGAGGAAAAGGGAAAATTGTTCTGAAAGAGCTATCGCCCTTATCTTACTTTCTATAGCGCATTGTTATGTATATGTACCGGAGAGAGTTTACTGCTTCGATAAGTAGAACGGGTAATTAAAATAGAGCTGTAAATATTCCCGATAACACAATCGGAGGGTTATTTCCATCCCTTGTCTGTAGGAGAAATGCAGTTGGGGCGGGCCCAGGCCTGGCCCGCAGCCTCGGTGCATGCACAATGCTGCACGGAGGCCCGGGCCGCGCAGCCTGGCGCAGCTTGCGCACCTCCAGTGTGCGGTTATCACTGCACCGCGATAAGCAAACACCGCCACCACCCTCCTCACCCCCCATTTATTTCTTCAACTTAATTATCGCCGAGACCGTGCGTGTGGTGTTGGAGGGAAGAATACGACTTTTAAGTGCAGACCAAAGCGTGAACAATAAGAAAGTAAATAGTCCGGTGCCCTCGGGAGTGTCCGGACAATCAGGAGCCGTTTCTTTCCCGGATCTCATAATTTGTACCTATTTCCCCGCCGTTTAACCTGTCACGTATTTGCAGGTTCTATACGTGTTTTCGAAATACACACATGTAATCCCATTGGATTTATTTGCATGATCCTTTCTTTTTTCAGATGCATGGGTGCAGGGAGGGTGTTTATGCAGGTATTTATACATGTGTTGTGCGAATATCGCTGTTGTCTGCGTCGCGGCTCGCCGCTCCGCGCGCTCTC